ATGAGAAATTGTGTGGACAGCTGCAGCCTGCTACATTAATACTTTGGGACATCTTATTGTTCTGCAACTGAAATTGTTCTGAGACACTCTTTGACTCACTAATAGCATTTCAGAGACTGCTTCCCTCTCCTTTGCATAACAGATTCACTCCCACTTTGCACACAGATCATGTAGAGCAAGATGCTCAAACTGATGTTGATTATCTCATTATTTGAATCTAAAAAGGCCCCTAATTCCCAGCAAGGAAAATATGTGTGCTCTCATCAGCTCTAAGGCTGCTGTACTGGACTGTGGCCATGCTTCACAGCAGTTCATACCCTGATTTTATTTCTGGAAGAATACAATGTATGACATGCAGCTTCCTCTTTCTACAAAAGATGTACGAGAAAATTAAGTTGCATCTTGTTTCTGATTATTTAAGAGATAAAAATATCCTCCTCATGAAGGGGAGAGAGATGAACCAAGCATTTTTGGATTTATCATCTCAGCTCTGTAGGACACAAGATCCAGCCAATAGACAGACACCTCAGGAAACCAGCAATGAGCTAAAAGGTTTAAGTGGAGAAATGGCTCGACGCAGAGCTCCAAAGATCACCTGTAGGAGGACCAAAGCCTTCACGTGTACTGAAACGTCTCTGATCAGAGTCTCAAAGGTGGACAGAGGTTACGTGCTCAATAAAGTGACCCACGAGGAGAAGGGGAAGTGCAGAAACAGAGAAATGAAGCATTATTCAAAACAATACTTCTTCCAAATCAATGTCTGTTTGACGCTCTGACCCAAGCATGAGCACCTCGGGCAATTTCAAATACATTAGTTGACAAACATGTCTTTCCCACCTCACCCAAGCTCTTGGACCTCTGAGCACCAAGGAGACAAATCACAGAATCTAAAGGCCTGATCTTGTGCCCCTCCTGCACTGCGGTCCACCACCAGCCTTCTCCAAAGGTCTCGCACGTTGGCAGAAGTACTCACTATCCACGAACCTTCTCCTCCCTCAACAGCCTGTTGAGCACCCAAGATTCACACACTGCCAAGGAAGATATTAAATAACTTGATATTTAGCCACACCTAAACCCTGGTGTGTGCCAGCTGAAGCAGCGCTTACCAACATGAAGACTATAGCAGCACTTGTATCCAGGGATGTGACCTGGGGAAGATCATTCCCAAACGGCTTCCACAAAGATCCACTTGAACACCATTTCCCTGCCAGAGCATTCCCTAAAGACACCAGTTTTCCTCAGACCAAAACCCTACAGTTTTGTCTCAAGAACTGGTACTCCTTACTGATGCATTTTAAATATTATTTTAACACCCATTTACCTGTGTGACTGACTGCTCTGCCTTGTAAATGATATCCTTTTAAATATGTATGCATTAAACTGAAAGACAATAATGGCCCTAGGGAAGTTGCATTCCATCAGGCAATTACCTGTGTTTTTAAAATCACTGAATAAGTAATTCACACAACCAATTCCTCTTGCACATAATAAACAATTTTATCAGCTATGCCCTGCTTGGGCTGTTGTGTACCAGCTCATTTTATTTCTTTGAGAACCACTACTAACCAGGGAAATTAATTGAAATCATAAGGTAGTGGGAGGGGGAGGTACCTGCTCTAACAGGAGCTGACAATAGCACATTTCTAAAAGGGGAGTGATAAAACTATGTCTCTCGATGAGTCAAGGGCAAATGGGCTGAATCCATCACATAATTCAACAGTCACTCTCAAATTTGCCGAAGAGTGAGTGAGAAAAGCACCTAGCCTGAAGTACCTCTGCTCTGAATTGCCTTGCTGTTGAACATTTATGTCAGAGGCTTAAAGCAGTTTCCAGAACTAGTTCTATTTGCATGCGGCTAAAATCTGCGTATGTAACTTTCCAGCCAAAACACTTCGAACCCCAAGTTATAAATAGGCAACAAAGATGAAGGGGGCTACAGATGACAAGGTACAACTCGTTACACACTGACACTCTAAGGCGTCAAGGCTTTCTGGATGAAAACCACCCGAGGAAGATCAGCACGCCATCCGCTCAGACACACTGCCAGGGTTACCCAGCTTGCACCTTCGGAGCACCAGAGTGCTACGGTACTCGCGGGATCTCCTGCAGCTCACACTGGGGTATCAGGAGCTGCACTACCATGCCAGACCTTCTCGTTGTAGCCAAGCATTTGGATGCCACCAGGCTGCAAGGAGCCCTTGAAACCACATCTGACCACAATTACGCTATGCCCAAGCCCTGGACAGAATACAGCTAATTTATAATCAAGGATGGGAAGCAGGAATAAAACTACCCCTCTGCTCTTCCCTTTGCAAACTGTGATGACTTCAGCTCCCTGCTTTCATGCCAGTGATATTTTGATGGAGTAGCGCCATGTTCACAGCTCCATGGCAGTATCCAAAGGAATGGGTCACTTGCATTTATCTTTGCTTACCTTTAGTGTAAGCTGGTTCCTTGGGAGGACAGGATTTGGAGTTGGACTCAGGACATCTGGACAGTGTTCCCAGCTCTGCCACAGCCTCCTTTCCAGTGCAAGTCATTTCACAGACTAATGCAAGTACCCACTTACCTCTCCTTCCTGGACTTCCATGAGCTGTCAGTGTCCAGCACTTCTGAAACTCGGATCCTTGAAACCAGCTATAAAGTACATAGTTCAATATATAAATACATCTACTTTTTTGTTTTTAACTATAGTCTGGGAAAAGCTTTGCAACATCTGACATTTGCAAGAGATCAAATTAGATCCGTTAACAAAACTTCCCACAGTGTTTCCAGCAGGATAAAGGATTAAAAAAGCAGCCTCTAGGCATTGTATATGTCCTTAATGTATCTGTGCTTCTAAACTATCTTTAATTAATGAAATATCCCCAAATTACTTATTAATAAGGATCTGTGGGCTTTGTAAACTCCAGACATTTTGCATGAATTAAAGAACAATATAATGAAGTTTTAATGAATACAAAGTCACAGTTAATGTAAAATTTATATATAGCATGCCAGAGGGGAAAGGAATTTAAAAGTACTTTTAATCATAGGTTATTGGCAGCCAGATAGCTCATTTTTATACTTTTCTAATGGGTGCTTCGTATTTATATTATCACATTTATCACGCCAGCATGGTGTATTGTCTAACTCAGTACAGTTCAGAAAGTCAAATAGAGACCAGCTCATTTAAAGCCTCATTTGCTAATGAGGCATTTCTGCATCCCTGCAGCGAATGTGGAACTGGTGTCCACAATGACTGTGTTCTTTTGATTCAGTCACAGACCACCTGAGAGGGCTACTCCTCAGCTGCATTTATAGGCAGTTTCACTCTTACTGAATTATTAGCAGCAATATTTGACATTCTGCAACAGCTTTCAGCTTACTGGAGCGAGTGAGCTGAGATCTATCACAGAGTGGAAGAAACGTACAATAAACTGCTGCAGCTAAACATGAGCATCTAGATTTTGCCCTAAGTAACGGAGTACACACCCTTCAGTGCACAGATGTATCCCTTTTAGCAGCATTAACATATCACAACCTACAACTTCTTACTGTACTGACAGAAGGCACATTTTCAGCACACTTCTACTCCTGTTCACCTGCGACCTTCTCAACGAGCTAACCATGCATAGATAACTAGCAGCAATGTTTCACTTGTCCTGGGCTCTGCATAAGAAAACAGGATAAAACTTTCAGAGAATGATAATTTTATAGTGGGGTGGACTTGGATTAAAACCATTAAAATCAGTAACAAATTAAGCTAAAAATGATTCCATGACACCCAATCAAGAGGAAAATAAAAATAAGACAATAACTGAGTGAAAGTTGAAACAAATATATAAAGAATCAATTTATTTTAATTAACTTTATCGGTGCTGAATGCATTCAACACAATCGTAAGGACATCCATGATTTTAATACATTAAATACTTAACCCACAAAATTCAAATAGTGCAGGAGATACTGAATGCCAGACATTCAGTACAACTACTGCAACTATATTTTATGAAAAACAAAACAATGCTTTAGTGCTTCCATTTTACTGTTTTAGTATGCTCATTGCAGTATTTTTCCCTTTATAAACTGGAAGGATACCAAGCTAGAAAACATTTTAGTCTTTCACTTTCAACATGAGATTTAGTAAAAAAAGTTACAAAACCCATCAGCTTTTAATAAACGAACACACTGGAATTCTTCAGCTAACGTAACACAGGATTGTTGCCTTACAGCCAATAAAGAACTTCAAAGCAAGGAAGCAAAATGCTGTCTTCAACTGCAATGATGTTAATCCAGAGTAATGACAGTAAATTCCATGGCAGTAACCTGGAGTTACACCAGGAATAAGGAGGAGGTGGTTGCTCCCTCACCTTCTGAACCCCCAGAAGTCTATCAACTAAAAGCTTAAAACAGCAAGGTTACATCACAAAATGAAGCAGCAATTACCTTCAAGGGTACCGTGAGATATTTCAAGACTGAAATTATTCTGAGTCAAGTCAAATGGGTTTAGTGCCTTATGACTTGGCTTTATAAAAACATTTAAATGCACACTACATATAGAACGCTCACGTCAAGTAGTTAAAATCACTGTCTATTCTTTACAGGTGACAAACGCATGGATTGAAAAAGTGCTGCTAAAAATCCAGTCTAAAAAAAAAGGAAAGCGAACATTTTATGAAGGAAATACTCTACTTGCAGCTGTAACTTATGCTACTGGTGCTCCCATTTGATGGGCTGCTGATGCAAATCTAACCAGAAAAGATATACTCATATATATAAAAATCAAAGCAGGCAGGTTCCTCCTTCCAGGCTGGAAAAAAACTCCAAGACATATGGCATATGTAACCAATAAAAGGGAGCTAAGCTTTACCCAAGCCTTTCATAATGCACTTAATGAAATATTTTTTTCTTTCAAAAGAACCACTGGTATTAAATAGAGCTTTTTCTTTACATACAGTATTGGTATATACAAAACAAACACAGAACAAAAACAGATGAAAAAAAACAAACAAGTGACTTCAGAAGTTCTGAAGCTCAGGAATATTTTGGTACAGGTCCAAAGTCTCTGGGTTTGAGAAAGCTCCCCGCTGCTCAACTTCTTTCCCTGCAATTATTTGCTTCACAGCTACTTCCACTTTTTTCCCATTTATCGTATACTGAAAAACAAAACCAGCAATGATAAAATTACACTTTTCATTTAGTAGCTTTATGGAAATATTCATGAAACCCTCCACCAATCCCAGAACTCAATCAAAATTTATCACAATGTCTTCCCTTCTCTGTTACACTTGAGGCACCAGAATGTTTCTTCTGAACATCACTTGAAAAGTAAGTGGAATTCAAAGAAGAGTTTATAAGTGATTTTAGTTTATTATTCCTGTCTGGTAATACTGTGAGAGCCTGAGCAAACTCCAACTTAAAGCAAGGAAACCTGACCACAACCATGGTACAAACAGTAAAAATCTTCAACATTTTATGTTCTGACACATCCAATTTTCAAACAATTTTTAATTTTTTAAGGGTGGGCTCAAACAAAGCCCAACTCCATTGGGCTTTGGGAGAAGAAAACCATGACTGCTCTATCTTCAATGGACAGTCTTTTCCTAATAGGGCAAACAAACACTGAGCAAACCATAAAAAACAGAGGCTTCACCTCCACTTACGAATCACACAAACTATTATATTGTGTTACTCTAAAAGTTAGGACGTTGCAGAAAAAACCCTAATTCTTCTCTTTGGTATAGACCACTAATTTCTGACTAGGAAAGCGCGGTAAGGAAGAACTACTCCAATGTTAACAGGAACCATCAGGCCCATTTTAGATTATGATCTCTGCTTCTATAGGCACCAAGGCTTTAATACCATCTTCCTTGGGCTGATACCACTAAGTAGTTTTGGGGGATGGCAACTTTGAAAAGCTGACCTCCAAATACCTCCTGGGTCTTGTCTGTCTGCTCTGGGACTAGAAACCACATTTGCTTTACTACCGAATCAGCTGGGTCAAGGAACCCAGGTTGCTCCTGGCCTCCAAAGCCACTGACACTCCTGAACTCTGGGCACCACCACTTTTCATTAGAGATCTTTCAGAGTCAGCTAAATAATCCTCAATTCAATACAGTCTTACAATATTGATCTTCATACTAAATCAAATTTGTTTACTTTAATAAGTAAACCCCTTGTGGGTGATTACCACAAAGATTATCTAGTCAGGACAGGACTAGATTCACACTAAGAGTTTGCAGTATGGTTTTTAACACCATCTCATTAAAAACCATGCTTTGTATTACTGAAGTCCTAATCACTTCAACACAGCTATACGATTTCTACCAGTATACAGTGTCAGTATACAGTCAGGATGAGATTGTATTTTCAGGTGAGGATTCAAATAAACTTATAAAAGTAGCAGAGTAGAAAGAGGTTTTCCTTCCAAGCAAAACTTTCAAAGAAAGATGGGAGACAGCTTTGATCACTTTAACGCTGGCATATTTACCTGAAAGGTAATTAAAATTCACTCAATTGTAAATTCAGTCAAAGTGTGAACTGATTAATGATCTAAGCAGGCTTTCCTGAGGGGCAGCCCATCACAAACACCTCACTGCCATCTACTTCGTGCTGTACGTTCAGGTGATTTACACGGTTTACAGCTTCTGCATGAAGTGTTGAACTTAAGTTGTAGCCCAGAAAACCTAGACTTCACCATTTAACAGGTACAGGGGATTTTACACTCATGCAAAGATGACATTTTGAGCCAAGTCTTATTTGCCAGCAGTGCCCTGAAACAGAATTAACTCAATAGATCAGAACCAGATCACTATGTGCTCTATAGAGGCTGGCAGTCCTCAGCCATGGATCACTTTCATATAGAAACCTCAATTGGCAGTAAATGAATATCAGAATATCAAACAAATGGTCTGAAGTCTCAAGCCTTTTCTCTAGACAGATTCAAGTCTACGTGCAAATGGATTTGAGACTACACTCTGCCCCCCCATTCTGCTGCTCACAGAGCGGTTGAGGACACTCCAGCATCAGAGGGGGCTATAAAAAGCAGGCATTCCAGCTAAAGAGTTCACACAGCAAGGAAGAGCACTGCAGAGTAACGCAGCTCCATGAGACTGAGCATGCAGAACCTTTAGCTATACACATTTCTCTCCCCTCCTCTCTAACAAGCACAGAGATATTATTTTAGTTACTGCTACAGTTAAGACAGTGATAGAGCTACATTTAAGTGGCTAAACAGACATAAAAGTGAAATGGTTTACAAAATTATTTTATAAATTTGTTCAGTGCTCTCAGCTTTCATAAGAATGTCATTTGAAACAGGAAAACAAAAACAAAATAAGCTTATGGGTAGTCAGAAAAGCTAAAGTTAAATTACCTTTTTAATATTTTCCTTTAAAAGGCTTAAGTATATATTACTGAGAACGCAACACATTTATAAACTGCAAATGGGCATTTTTAGGTATTGTTAAAAAACAAAAACATGCTTAGCTGAAAAGGAGATGAAATGATGTTGCTAGGCAACATAGACAAACTATTTATAAAGCTCGAATACACTTTTGAGATGCTAAAATTTCCATGCATGTGGGTTTGAAGAGCAATGACAACTGCTCCTTAATTACTATTCAAGGTGACAAAGAAAAAAGTAGGCAGCATTTTTCATGACATACCGGAATGCCTTTGGTTTCTAGAATGAGGCTTGGAACATGCCTGGCAGAAAGCGCTATACGTATTGCATCTCGAATCCTTTTCACCAGATCCTCGCTGAACGCATGGTTTAATGCCATCTTCAGGAAGAGTATCACCCTCTCCTCCCCATCTTTGTTGTACTGAGGGACGCAGAGGCTATCGGAAACCTCCTCAAAGGCTTCAACTGAAAATAAAGGAAGAGTCCCTATTAGCACTTGCATTTGTATATTATTCTGGATGCACCTTTTTTTGTGGTTGCACCAAAAGAAGTATCACCTCCCCTAGAGCTGCAAAGGCAAAACAGATGTCCTGGCTAGGTTATTCTGCAGTGAGCTTCCCCCCTGGGTGCTCTGACATTTTAATTCCTGCTCAGGTGAAAATCCAGGTTTTAGGCCCAGGACAAAAAAAATTTGCTACAACTTTTGGAACAGGTAACATTGCTGTTATCCATCCCCATTGCTGCACAGACAGAAAACATGCCTGATCACACAAAAACAAGGAGGCACAACAGGTCCTTAAGTCTCAGATTAGCACCTTTGCTGGCAGATTCACCACCTTCCACAAGACAGACCTTCTTTGAAATAAGAAGCACAAGCTCAAGAACTTAATCTAATTATTAGGAAAGATACAATAAAACCAGTGTCAAGAGTTTGTCTTGGGGGGGAAAAAAGAAAAGCCTTAGAAGTTGGGTATTCTCTTATAAATCTGCATGATATAATTAGTCTGCAAGGCATTATTATATGAAAGCAACACCTTATGAAGAACTCATCTCCAGTCCTACTGATACTTCAGGAGAGCAACCAATTTCAAGTCTACAAAACAGAATTTTACTATTAATGCTAATATGCTATGTACTGTCTTTCATTTAAGGAATGGCAGGTCTTTTATTACTTAATCCTTCCAAACACCTTTATAATGCTTACATTTCAGATTTAAGGCAACAATGTCATAGCTGAAAGAGGTGGAAAGTTGATTTCATACCTATGTTATAGATTTCAGAACTTCCGAATCTGACTCCATTTGGATTTAATGTACCATCACTGAAAATCACACACAAATAAAACAAAGCATTAAAATGTGATTAGAGTTTGATGAAAAGAGAAAAAGTGATGCAATTAACCAAGTCTCTCTACATTTCATGCAGTGAATATGCAGCCACATTAGAAACAGAATTTTAAAAGAATTTGATTCAAAAAGGCATTTTGCTCATTAGAATGAAGTAGTACAGAGAACCTCAACATTATTCATTCACCTTTCCTAGTCCCTCCCCTTTCCAGTTGCCTACAAATACTACTGATGACAAAACAGACCAAGAATCTTTGTAGTACTCCATATTTCAGTTGCATATCATTACTTTCCAGTCTCTTATAGCTGGAACTTGCGTTTCATATATAGCAGCCTCACACTGTATGTCTGTTGAGTAGGTCTATTTGTGACAATGCCAGACACAGCTTCGAGGCATTCACTCAACTTTGTTTCAAACAGCAACTTTTAAATGCAAGCAGAAAATTTAGCCACAGTTGTCATCTGGAATGTCTACAATCGCTAACACAAGCACAACTTAATACCTGACCTTCTGTAATTAAGTTTTGCTGTAAAGCAAGTCAATGGCAAAGCCAAGACCAGAAGACAAGTTTCCTGATTCACCACCATGTGCTGCACTCTCAATTTGAACTCTTACAGATGATCATTATAAACCATGGAACACAAAACCAAGTCCAATAGAGTCTTGTGTTCACATACACAAAAGTGGGATAGAACTTTGAAATGGGCTCTCTTCCCTCCAATCCAGCTGCTCTGGTTAATTTAGGGGTTGAAATCTACAATACTGGATTTCACAAAGTGAATATAAAGCTAACAGGCCTGATGGATAATCATGTACATTATGCTCTAAGGTGAAGTTTGCAAATTTTAACACTTGTTTACTTAGAACATTTTCACCAAAATACTGTACCTGCGACCCAGCATGACAATTCCTCCTGTTTTGGGATTAATTTTGCAGTAATCACCGTGGGCCCAAACACCTGTCAGGCAGTGACAGAGGTTAAACAGCTGATTCCTTATTCATCCAGTCACAGCAGACATGTATGTAACTCAACTGACGTAACTTAGTAAAATGCATACAAAAATATAACATAACAGATATGCTTTGAGACCTACCCACAGCAAATGTAGCAGTACTTAACTAAGCAAACAATCCACCTTGCATTTACTACAAAGAGCTAACACACAAGAGTAGCTCGCTTATTGGGATCAAACCCTAGGTTATCTTCTGATTGCTTGTTTGCCTGACTACACACCATCTTTTAGGAACTAGATGAATAGCTGCTCTGAACGTGACACTGAAGAAACTGGAAGAATCTTCCACAAAGGTAACTATCCACTACTTTTACGACGTACAATTCTGTGCAAGAAGCTTTCTGGGCTTGCACAATAGGTTTCAACAATTCCCTAGGGAGCTTATGTGCTTAATGTTCTTGACTTGTGTTAATGTAAAATTAGATTTCACTTCTCAGAACTGGAGTAACTTTTGTATTTTAAGATTGATACCACTACAGAAGCCTGCCACAAACAGAAATACAAGCCAATTCTACTCAAATTTTTCTAAAAAAAAAAAAAAAACAAACCTCCATTTTTTGCACATGTATGTGCTTATCAGACCTTTTCCTAACTTAACTGTTACAACCTTAAACCCATTTACAAGGGAAAACAGAAAAGGGGTTTCAGACAGAACCTCTGGACCAGTGATTTCAGTCGAACAACTGTCACACAGATTTCCCCCCCCATTTATTTTTGTCAGGTTTACATGCAGACTGCAACTTCCACATTCCCTCAATTTTCTCCTGCTGTGCGTCCTGACTGAATCCACTCTGTATTGCTGCTACTTAGAAAAAAGCTTCTGTCTCCGAAAAGAAGCAACTTGAGGTCCTGCTCCTATAAAAGTCCCTGCCCAGTAGGCAGCAGGGACTTCAGCATCGCTGTACCACGTCAGCAAAAGCTCTGGATGAGCAGAGTCCTCAACAATTATTAGGAAGAAAGCATCTGGCCCACAGTACCTGTTCCTTTACTCTTACCACCACTGGAAGACTGTATGAACACAGAATATGCATGTCTGAGGCAGCATATACTTAAACCTCGTGCTAATGAGGTAGCAGGTCAGCACCTCTCCCTTAGGATTCACTCCTCTGGCTAGGTAGGAGCAGTCTGGCAGAGGTGCAGTAGCACTCATTAATGGAGGAATGCTCCCTGACCTATTCAGCACTTTCATTTCACACTCATGTGAAGCAGTCTATATCCGCATTACAGATCATCAGACTGTTACAGTCATATCTGCCTAATGAGAGCAGGAGCAAAATAGGATTGGAGCTTTCCAGAGATCCTTATTAAACTGATTTGGATCCATATTTGAAACAAAGCACTAGAAAACAGAGTGAGATATTATGAAACATGCCATGGAGTTCTCACCCTGGAAATCTAGATTCAAAGCTGCACCTGCCTATCACTGGGCAAGAATAAACCTGTACCTTCCTAAGAGCAGCAATACAATCTATATCCTTGGTCAGTTTGAGCAGTATCCAAAGCATTACATACCTGGGAATTTTGAAAAATAAGCCTTCCTGTATTTGTTTCCATTCTCATCGTTCCAGAAGTGCGTAGGCTGACAGGGAATAGGCTTGGTACAAACCAGCTCTCCGCTTTCACCCCAAACTGGTTTTCCTGTTTACAAAGAGATATTTTCTGCATTTCCCTTCTGTAAACCATTGAGTACCAAAGCAAATAGCATCTACAATTACTACTTACATGCCAGATGCTGATTCAGATATGAGCTGTGACTTAACGGCTTTTGTTCAATTCTTAAACTCATCCCTATTTTAACCTCAGTAACTTCAGGAATGTTACACCACAGGGTGAAGCCAGCCTGGCAGCCACAGCAACATAGCTAATTAGCATGCACACTAGAGGCTAGAATTTGGCCTGATGTGCTTTATCAGAGTAATGGAAAAGGAGGGGCTTTTTACACATTGATATCCTGTACAATCCAGATCAAAGGGATCCAGACCTAGGTTTCGCAGAACATGTTTCCAAAGTGGAATCACCCATTTACAGCTGTTTACCCATCCGATGACCGAAGTATAAGGTCATACAACTACTGTATTTCCCAAGTGTACATAGTATTTTGGGTAACAGTTACCTTCATCATTCCATGCTTCTACAGCCATTCCAAGATTTCTGGCCTGAATTTCTCCTTTGTAAACTGGAATTGTAACATTCTGACCCATGAAACACGAAATTATATCTGTCCCACCTACAATAAAAAAAGTCTATTAGAATATACAGTACTTTTTGGAAAAAGCAAAACTGTTTTAGAGAACAGTAAGCTGCCACCTTTGCCAAATGCTTCTGATCCACATTAAGCAGCACAGAATATACAGTCAGTATTATCTAGGATGTTATGTGACTTAAAAAAAGGTTTCGTTTCTTTCTTTGTGTGTCTTTTTATATGTGTACGCCCTTCATGCAGAGATATTTAAGGCATAACTTTTCCTCTTCCAACAGTTTCTTTAATCTCTTTTAAGGAAGTTTCCATTTACATAAGAATGAGAAAATAAAGAGGCCCTAGTTTATGGATTTAGATATTTAAGACCATTGAGAAATGTTTTCTTATTTGTTTTCCTTAGTTTAAACTAAGCAGTCAATCTATTCCACTCAATATTTACTTAGCTTTTATACCTTATTCTCATTAGCACAAAGGCTGGGGGGAACCATGCCTATAGGATGAACAGTTATCTTAATAAAAATAGATACTGTCAAAGTGCTTACTTAAGTGGAATATTTATTGTCTTTCTATGACTTCAGGGAAGTAGAACTGTAAGATACAAATCAATCCTGTTAGCTTTACTCAAAAATAGTCTTCTGCATTTGAGACTATTAATGTCTACAGTAGCAAGTTCAAGATTCAGACCAGAGTCAGAGGTGACTTCAGTAGCAGAATAATCAAACTTTAAAAATCAAACTAAACTGAGTTAAAAAGCCCTTTGAAAAAGTCAGTTCTCATTACAAAGCAGAATGAGGAGTTCTGTGGTGGACCTTATGTGAATAGAAGTTGCCTCAACTAGCACTCTTCACAACAAACTGCACAGTATGTGGGCTTGATATTTCTCTAATTATATAATTTACAGAAAATCTGTCTGCAGTGCCAATTACTTGGCACAAAAGAATTTAAATGGGAACATGGAAAAACCTCTCCAAGAGGTATTTTCTGCTGAAGTCAGCTATTTGCAGAACAGTAAGTTCTGTAGGTTAATAGACTCTTTTCTTGATCTCACCCTGCTACCCCTAAGGACAGCCAGTCAAAAAAAAAAGAACCTGCTTAAAAAAAAAGGGAAAAACCAAAACATCCACCATGTCAGAAACATTCCACCTAAAAGCCTTTGAGCATACGCACTTCATTATTGCACACTGAACTACGCAGAAAATCTCTGCACTAAAAAGACAATTAATTCCAGTTTAACTATAACCAAGCCCGAATGATCCAAGGCTTAAACTTCCCAAATACACAGCAGCAAACAAGCAAGAAGGAAACGCACCGGCAATGAACAGAATTAGTAAGATGAATGCGGCATAAAAGCATCACCTGAAATGGATCCCAGGAGGACACTGCTTTTTATGTGTTTGTAGACATACTCATAGCTTTGAGATTTCAGCGGTGATCCTGTAGACAGTATAGTGTGGAGTGTTTGAAGATTGTGTGTTTCACCTTAAAAGGAGGAAATCAACAAAATAGATTGAGGTAGAATTTTTACAAGAGTTTGTAACTATTTTTCACTACAATCCAGAATAATTACATAAAGGACTTTGTGACAAGATACAGGGCCAGAACCTGGAGAGGAAAGGCAGGAGGGAGGATAGAAGGGATTCAATAGCTTTTTGAAGCTTACATGGTTTTAAATTTTTCTCTTCTAGCACAGCCAGCCACTTCGCACCCGTTCCAAGGATGGTGATCCTAGAGGGAAAGAAAGTTAAAATGCTTTGCATATTTAAATATGCTAAGATTCTAAAGACCTGTGATTCCCTCTGCAGTAAGCAGAGGCTGTACACATTCTGTACATTGATTAGTCAAGCAATGCAGTCTCTTAAAGCTTTCTAACTGCAAGACACATCCTTTTGAGCAATCAAAATTAGTCAGATCACATGTCGTTTCTGCAGCTTTGAAACTTTTAATTCCACCTTTAAATATTAAGCAAAGCTTTCACACCTCATTGAAAACATTCATTTTCATTTACAGGAATTCATAACTGCAAAACACTCCAAAGACATCACAAAATATTACAACATTTACTTCATTAATGGGCCACAATTGCCACTAAGTTGTTTAATACAAAACTGCTGCCTTGTTACACTCTTACACATATAAGAATTTTGCCATTTCAGGGCACAGTTTACCAAAGAATATTTTATTCTTAAGACAACAGCCAGGGACTTTCTCATAGGTAACTGTTCAGTTTCCACTGATGAAAGTCTGAGTTGCAGGCGCCTGCCTGAACATGAAGTTTGGCCTAGCTAACTGAACAATTGAATTCCACCCTTGCAGAAAGTATATTTAGAGCTCTCCAATACAACATAATTAAAACTTGAAATGAAAGCTCTACCCCTCCCCTACTCTATCAATGGAAGTGCTAGTTTAAATGTTTCTGCTGACTTTCAGGAAATCCTCTTCCCTGCCTTCTGCTAATTCGTTTTATATTACAGCAATAAACTCCCTCAAGAAAATGCATAGAGACAGATAAGGTTAAGGGATACAGTCTAAGTGCACAGAACATGGACAATACATACATCAGGAGAACTTAAATCAGATCCTGTTATCTTTGCTTTTACTCCAACAGTGAGATGGAAGGTAGATAATAATGCAGTTACTGAAACAGAAAGGGCTATTTTAACACTATCAAAAGGGGTTGTCTTCCTTTGCCATTTAGGTGGATGACAGTTACCGAGAGGCTGCCACCTCTTGGGTAAGGACAAGGACAGGCTATTTGCACAAACACATTGGTGCATAGAGCAATTTATCAGGTACTTGGGAACAGCACTGAGAGCGCCCATGGAAGTATACTGCTCCTCCAGTTAATCATGTACCACAATCACATGAACTATTTTTACTCTTGTGTAATATCTGACTTTCCTTCCATGTTTCAAATTATTGCTTATTTTATAGTTCGAATACGTAATGCTTCTCCGTTTATTTTTAAGCTCTTTGACACTTCCTCTACAGCACACATAGAGCCTAGTCTCCTATTATGTCCTTCCTTCCAAATGCTATATAATTGGCGGATGGTGACTAAATACAGTTCACTTGAACAGATCTTTAATTGATGTCCACTTAAGTAATTCTTGTCATGCAGTATTAGATACCTCGATGATACTATAAGAATATGCTATCTGAAGGAAAGTATGGTACCTCTTCAGAGAAGTAAGGTAGTCTTAACATGTTGAAGTTTTTTTTTTTTAAATATGTAACATATGACTGAGTTGGGAACAGACTGCGTTATGAAGTACCACACAGATGGCCACCGCTTTTAGCACCAGATTACAAAAGTGAGACATGCAGACACATTTCAGTTATCTTCACTTACTTTTGGCATGTAGAAACAATGCTTAAAAATAAGCTGTGTTATTTCTCAATTCTAAATTTTTGCCTGTTTTTCTACTGGGGGCTGGGGGGGGGGGTATGTCCTTAAGTTTGTGAGTTTGTTTAGTGGGTTTTTTTTCTACTGGAAGCATTCTGACTAGGCATTAACCTTCAATTGTAATAGCCAGAGACAAAATGTCAGTGTTTAAATATTACATGTCACAAAAGACAGAATGAAGTTTAAATTATTAATTATCAGGAGTCAGAAAGTGAATCTTTTGCCATCCACTTTCTACCACAAATTAAATAGTTTTAATTATCAACTCTAAATGACACTCATTATTTTACTAGTAATATCATTCAGATCTACTCCTTGCATCCAGTTGGCAAAACAGGGAAGTTACAGAAAAAATAATCAAAGTTTAACCAGTGTACAAAGCTAAATACCACCACAGGATTTTACAGCTGTTTATCCAATACCTGCCATTTCTCTAGGCTTCAAGAGAGGGCACTGTGAGCATTTTTAGGCACAAAGAACTGTATAAACAGTTAACAAACAGCTTGACAGGGAGAATTAGGCATTATAGATTAAAAAACAAAATATGAAAATATAAGCAACCCTTGCTGAACCTTTCCAGTCAATTTATTTTTTTAAGTCAAAGTGCTATATTGAGTCTTATGTTGAGCTGCTTGAAATAAAGGATTCTTATTTTCTAAGTTCTGAGTGTGCTCAGAAATTACTCTTCAGATTGCTCCCAATTACTGCCTTTTGAAAAGGCTGCTCTTGAAAACTGACTATTGAACCAAAAGTCTTTGTTTGCTTGGAATCCGAATACTTGACTCAAATTTGAAACAATCAGCTCTTTGTCTCTTCTGCTCTCTCTCAAAGACTGTTTTAGTACAAAATTTTAAAAAGTTGTTCCACTCAAGGCCAAGACAAAAGATAAACTATGTCATGCTACACACTAGTTTCCGACCAAGGGAATGACACCTTTAATGAGGTTGCTTGTATGTGGTCATCGTAACAGGAGAAAACACCATTACCCTTCCATTTAATCTTGTTTACATACCCTAGTCTGTCAGTCAAGTCCCAGACCACATTTGGTGATGGAATTAGAGGAGATCCATCATACAGGACCACCGAAGCTCCAGTAGCAAGTGCAGTCACTAACCAATTCCACATCATCCAACCAGTCTGGAAAAGAGAAAATACCTACATTAGTTTCTATCTTTGTCAGCTAGCTGCCTGCTTTTCTGGCAACTCTATCACAGGATCAGAAGTGTTGCTTGCTGTCATATGCTGGTAGAGGAGCTACAGGCAACTAGCAGGTGTAGCAATTGGCAGAATCATCTGGACCAAAGCATGCTCCCTGCCCTTATGCAAGAGGTGCCATCTTCCCCTCTGCTTTCCTTGCTCAAAGTTTTCCTGCTTTAAGAAACTGTTAAACCAGCACTTGAGTTTATGCCCACCTCTGCTGATTAAGTATAACTATTATTTAGGAATCAAAAAATAAGGCAGGAGCACTGTTCATCCTCTCACCTGTCCCAAAACTGGACCAGCTACATATTCTTGACAGATGTTCATCCAACTTATCCTTACAAATACCTAATGAGATGGGGATTCCATACCTCCCTATACACACACCCCTTTAAAGCACGAGAAAGAGAAAGCACAAGAGAGCAAGAGACAGGACAACTTCAGGACAAGCTAATTACAATGATTCCTCCATGGAGATATTACAAATTGACTGGTAGAGTTAAAGTTCAGAAAGGAACTCATGAGGAAAGGCAAAGCCTTCTCAAACCTTTACAGTAATAGAAGACTTTGGAATAATTTTCTTTACCACAGCATTAGAAAAAAACCCACCACATAACTGAACTCCTACATAATTCAGTTTTATTCCCTTTCCTTTATTAAACTTAGAGTTGTGTAGCTTCTTTCCTCCCCACAAAAACAAAGACATAACAGGAATTCTCATCTTCAGTATGGTCAAGCCTTGCATGATTCAGGAAGGTGGAGCCTGTTTTGCAGGTGATATTGATGAGGCAGTTAGGTTAATAAACCTAAGAGACTGTAAAAATCAATCCATTTTCCTCACTAATTACATCAGAAACATTTAGCATGGGTCTGACCTTTATCAGAAAGGTCTCTGTTGCATTTTATTATCCCACCTGATTTTTTTAAAATTCAGTTAAGTAGGACAATCCCTTGCAGAACAAGAATTAAAACCACAAAAATTTACTTGTGGATTTGTAGGAAAAGCTCTCCCATCTTTAAAAGAAACATATATTAAAGTGTTTTTTGAAATGCCTTAATAAACCACACTTGCCGTTGTATAGTACATAATAATGTCATTGCTGGTCATGTTGCCATGAAGAACGTGTTCCTTCAGATGCTGTATTAGCGTACCCTGAAAAAAACATAGTGGAAAAAAAAATACAAGTTCACATAAATGAAAAGCAAAACTGACAGCACATTAAGACTTTAAAAAACCTAACATTGTCAATCCTTTGCAGGATGTACGCCAGGATTACAGGCAAGTATTTCCTTTTAACCACAGCTGAAGTAAATCCCAGGGCCTAGCTGCAGCAGCAGCAATTGCATTCTCCATTTTCTCACGTAACTTTTCAGCCTCTCTCATTAGACCACAGCAATTCCCACTGCACATCACTTGTAATCCATGGAATAAATAACTTCCTTCAGTTCCAATTCTGCCCAGCCATCAGAGTTGCAGAGTACTCCATGCAGGCTATAATTTTAACAGCATGCTTTTACCAGTCAGATTTTCCAGGATAAGCCCTTTGACAGAGTTTCATTTTCAGTATATCTAGGCAACTGGGAGGAACGAAGGACCTAGGGCTGCTATAAACTGCAGCAGCTGTTATACGTTAACACTGTTTATCCAAACTATCTTGTCTATTAACATCTAGGAGACAAAAGACTTAACTATACACATCTCTTGTAAGCATTGCAGTGACTAGCAATGTGAAAAATCTCACTGCTCAAAGCATCAATATGAACAATAATGTCATTAAATACATTACTTCCTTTTCTCTTTTGTTGGAAATGCTACTGAAGTACCCTTCTGATCATCATTAAAGCACAACTTATTAGAATAAATCTACAAGCTACTTCACTAAGTCACTTCGCTGCAGTGACAAACTAATGTGGTTGATCTTAAAATAAAGATGGTTTTTGCATTTATGCAAGGAGTTATAGTGGAACTATTAAGAACCTCCTAAGCGTGAAACAAGATTTATGCTGAAAGAAAACAGATTACAGATAAACATTTGAAATGAAAAAGGAGAGTCATAAAACTGGCACATGCTTTGGGAGAAAAGGCAGAAAGCATTAAATAAAAATAAAGTGCTCAATCTGATTCTCTTTGCAACTCAAAGGAACCAGGTCTGAATTCACCTGCTACTGGCTGAATACACTAAGCTGTCACAATGCTGCCACCTAGCTATAGCTACCATTATATACATTTAAAAAATACTAAAAAAAAAAAAAAAATCAGGATTTAGGAATGCTGCATAACTTTAACAATTAAGGTTGCCAGAAGAATTGCAGGTGTTAACATAATTATTCCACTTACACAAGTAAGCACATTGCCTCTGCAGGAGAATCTGAAAGAGCCACACATAGTGAAATTAAAAGTCAGATTCATTAAAATAAATGTTAGTTTTCTTTTTCTTCCATTTAGTTGTTGCTATTCCACAGTTTTGGAACCCAAAGGAATTTTTTTTAACAATGACTTTAGGTAGAGGCTACAAACTATTCCCCTGCAAAATCTGGTAACTCTCAGTCTGGGAACAAAGGTATTGTGGTAGAAGGCAAAGCTGTTCTAAAGAGCTAACAGCCTAAGATGCTCTCTCAAGATCTTTTATAGGACTTGTTTGTGGTGAGGGTCATACAAGTCCTATAAATAAGTCCTAAGCATTTAGCATTTCATGAGACAGATCTGGTAGCTGATAAAAACTTACTGGTCTGCTTGTCTTCATTGGGCTTAACATACGGCCGATAAAGTGCTGAGCATCTGGAGTGTCAAAAAATCAGTAGGCACTGCTGCTCCTGAACCAAACTATCGGCACATAAGGGACCAGTGCTAAGTGGTTACATAGCTGAGAGCAAGCAGCTACTCATGGCCGCGGGTCCTGGTCTCAAACCAGCAGTGTTCTCGACACAGCGTTGAGAAAGAGTCCAAGCATGAAAAATCCTCAGAGCAATTTGCCTACAATTAACACAAGATGTCTGTAGCAGCATAGCTATTTAAGACCAGGTCTTGCAAGTCCTTAACGATGGATAGAAATGAACTGATCAGGATTTTACCAAAAAAATTCTCTCCTTAGACAGTTGGGAATATGGAATAACTGAAAAGGGGCCTGTATGAATGAGGTAAGAAGCTGAACCAACATTTTCAGGACTTCAGAATAACAATTACTCATTATTTTTTTTCCAGTAACAGCACACAGTGTTCAATACAATACAGCTTTACTTCTAAGATGAGAAGAATCTTACTCCCTCTGAGGCTCTACTTTTTAAATCAACTCCCATGACCTGGCTTCATTTTTTACATATGCTATTTCACTGTGTGTCAAGAGAACAGAGTATGTGCAGAGGAAACAGACCGGAAACATACTGCAGAATTAGGTAAACAGTTGTGAATTTAAAGTAAGCTGCCTTTTAGCATCCATAAGATCAGTACAGTAACAAAACAGCATTGAAGTGCACTGCAAATAAGCAGTAATTGAAATGTCCTTACTGAAATATCATCTCTTCTTGCATTTTTAACTATCATAACCAAACTTTGGTTAATCTGAGGCTGGAAAATGAGACAAAGACCATGGGATAATTCTGCTTTTGTTGAAATCTATGAGAATCTTCCTATTAATTACAGTGGAAATAAGATTAAGCCAAGAACAAAGAGAGGAACACAATCAAGTGTGCAGACGACATCTAAGAATTTCTTTGCCTGGATTTGACTGTAGGCCCTATTCAAATTGACACATACAAAGCATGCAAACCAAGGAAGCCTCTGATGCAACAATTTGCTTTTAAGCCAGAGGTGTTAGCAAAAAAAAAAAAAAAATCTGCAATACAGGACCTACAGAGCTGCTCAGTGAGAACACAGAGTCCTCATAAATAAGATACCCTATTCAGGAAATCACATCCTCTCCTCCCCAGCAAGGATGAGTAGTCTGTACCTAAACTCTTAAGGTAGCTCTGTATGATGGAGAGCAGAGGCACGATTAAGAACAAGCTAAGCAGCCATACAGATAACATTGGAAGAGAGAGAACTTTGCAATAGAGAAAAGTCCTGTTGTCTGATCTACATCTGTTTTTCATCTCCCTGCTGTTTATCATGCATCACTGAACAACACCTGTCCTATTTTTGCTAATCCATCTTTGCACGTACTTAACCAGTCTAAAGGCAGCACAGCTTCAAAACAGCTGTCAAACTTCAAAATAGACCTCCTCTTTTCTTCTTTACAAACATAGGATTTGTGTCCCAAAGGGACCATTTTATATGTCACACACTACTTGGTATGATCTCCTATTGATAATATATAAAGCAGAGTGTTTACAGGCAGCATGGGATTTGTCTGTGGCCAAATCTTTCAGTCCAGAGAGGCAAGAACATACACACTATGGGCGTAACATGAAAGTGATCTTGCCCTCAGGCTACCTAGACAATTCTATAGCCAGTCTCGCAAGATGTTCACCCTGACTTTCGGAGCAAATAGCAGAACCAATGGCCACTGGCTAATAATTGTGCAGTTTAATTTACACAAGTTGGTACAAATGTGCTAGACAACACATTCTGCCTGTATTGAGGGGAAAAAGCCCTGCCTTCTATTAAGGACTACACTAATAGTAGAGTTAAAGTTTCAACACTATGCCTGCCTGCTGGAGTCACTTCCTGAACTTTAATAAGTTGCCTAGAACAACTTTTAGAACATGAATAGTAAATGGAAAGGATGTGAGCACGGGTGATTTTGGCAGTAACATCGTATATGCTTTTAGTCATAGCAAGACACTGCCAAAAGCAAAACTTCTGTACAAAGCAAAACCTACACCCAAAGAGACAGATAACCTTCTGGCCTCCTTCCTTAAAAAAAGACTGACAAGGATGGCATGCTTTCAACTGATAAACTTATGGAGTAAAGATAAAAGATATTAAAATTCTAGATAATAAAATCTGCAACCTCCCTATGTGCCTCAACTTGACAGTGTCCAAAAATCAGTTCCAAGCACTCAGTTCAAGCTCTTTGGCCTTTTTTCTACAGCTACCAGTTGGGCCAGTTCAAGTGCTTCTCTGACAGACACTTGCTCCCAGGAATTAGCTGAAATCTCTGAAAGGTCTCCATACCAGTCTCTAAACCAAATTATTTCATATCCTTATTAATCCATATTTGCTTTCAGTCACGTACAGAAAGTTTTATTGCAAGTTACTGAAAAACTGTCAGCAATCATTTCATCCTTAAAGTACATTATGATGAGATACTGTTAAAGGAAAAATATAACCCAGGTAGTTATACATAGATATTGCAGCTCCAGGAGGGAAAACCTACCCCTGCTGAATGAACCATGCATTTTGGTGCCCCTGTTGTGCCTGATGAATACATGATAAAGAGAGGATGACTGAAAGGCAGCTGTTCAAACTCCAGCTGGGGGGCCTGGTCTCCTTTCCCAGTGGCAAGGAAGTCTTCTAAAAAGACACTGCATAAGAGGAGAATAAAGGAACATTTCAATTTTTTTTTTAAAGCATTACCCCAGGCCATATGTAAGATTACTTCTGTATCTAATGGTTCTTTTACAGTAAACTCTATACTGAAACTATATGTATTACTTTTATTCTTAGTCTTTCTACTCTGTTTGAGTATGATCAGCTGCCAGCCTTAACAGCTCAAAGCACACTAGAACAATCTGACCCTCAACACAAAGTTTGGAACTCAACCATTTCCAAAAGGTATCTAACATACATAATCCAGACCAGTAAATAAGCAAAACAAATTATCTCTAAAAATGTCACTTAATTGTTCATTTCTAGAAGCCACTCTCTTCTCCCTGCTATATGCTATTGAATTTTGCCTTAATTTGAGAACCATTAATACCAACAGTGGTTTTGTAGAAGCAAAACATCTGCAGTAACATACTACTATTTTCAGTATGAACCTGGACCCTCATTAAGACATTTGGCTAAATCCTAGCTTTTGCAAGTTCAAGAAGTCAGGCAGTTTTAATAGCTACCAGCACCCGTCTCATCCCTAGTTAAGGCAGTCACAGCTCAAAAGCTCCCATTACCTGTTTGGAATCTTAGAAATATCTATGGTTTCTCTTGAGAAGATATATGGAATCACCACCACTTTTTTTATATCTGGAAGCCCTGGAAGAAAAAAGAAAAAAATTACTTCCTACATTCAGTTACATAAACCAAAGGTCTTTCCTGTCCGATTGGAATGTACAGTGTAATGCACTAAGTAACAGAAATAATTCTGGTGCACTGAGTATTGGATATGGTTTTAAATTTTAAGAAACCCCAAAAGATTAAATTGTTACCTAAGATACAATTTCCTCAGTATTGCCAGCCTTTTAAAAATACATGTGTAAATCTGCAAGCTGTAGTGCTGTAATACTTCTTCATTTGTCTTCAGCAGCGCTTCACTTGGGCTTAAAAAACCCCCATGTCATCAGTCCCTGTTCCCCTACTTATACTGCTGACTAATTTATGATGATATATTTAAGCTAAAAAAGACTGTTAGAATTACACAAAAGACCAGTTAATTTTTACTCAAACCAGTTATGAAATTCTGAGTGGCCACAGAGATACTGTAAAGGAGGAAGGACAGCAACAAGCAGTCAAAAATGTCACTTTTAGTGGCAGTGCAGGCTTTTAGAAGAACATAACCAAGACTAGATGGTATGCAGTGAAATACCTTTTACCACACTAAGCAGCTTTTCCAAGTGCTTATGTTCTTTGCCATTGTATATAACAGCTTCAACAGAGAAGATGAGCTTAGGCTGAATTTGGGAAAATCTGTCCAGTACACCCTAGGGACAAAGAGAAAAACAAGTTAAAACAATGAAAACAATGAAATTAACTGATACAGTAGGAAACCCCACTGGATGCTAAATGCAAATCTCAATTCAAGCAAGGAATAAGGACAGGAATCGGTAGGAGAACTGTTAAAAGACTGCCTGCTTGTCTTTCTTTCACTCACCCCAGATCTTCAAAGTACGACAGGTTTGTAACAATCTATTTCATGACTCCCAAATATATCAACCAATAAAAGAAAATCACCACAGATCGCAGGACATTGTTCACTGAAGGATCAAGTTCACAAAGCCATCTAAGCAGTTAAAAATTCACCTTGGAATCAGACTTACAAACTCATCTAAAGAGGATAAGACCTAACTGATGTGAGCAGGAGTTAGGCACTTAATTACTTGAAGGCTCACAAGACCCCTGCCTGTATCTGCAGGCCGGTGCTCTGTGTGCCCTTGTAAACTGCCCCCAGTGCTGCTTTGACGATGTACCGGTAGTTTGGTAGTCTGCGCAGGGGGAAAACTGGAACACCAGTCTTCTGGAAGCTGCATTTATCATATGACAAGGTGGCACTTCACATGAACCGGCCGCTTTGTTCTGCTACGATTAGCAAAGGAAACCGTACCACTGATTTTTACCAGAACAACTAGATATTGAAAACACACATACATACAACCAAAAAAAAATACCACAGCTCCTTTAGAACCTCTGGGGCAAGACACATTCAGACGCTAAATTTTCAGGTGTCTCCTCCAGCTAACACTGTTTTCAGGAATTTACCGCAGCCATTATCAACACTGGAGAGAAAAACCCTTCTGGCATGGGGTGTTTTTTTTTCTCCCCCGGGTACACTGCATGCAGCAGCCTACCAGAAATGGATCTTTTTACATTCAACAGCAAGAAGCAGATCCTTTTAGTACAAGCTCTCAGCACACAGTCATGTTCATCCCTCTCTTGAAACATTAAGAACTACAAGATCATTCAATACTGTAAAATTGTCAGCTAACTCTTCAAGAACAATTTCCTAAATCATGTTTCAAAAAAATCAGACTTCCATCATGTGCTTATTCTTGACAGCTTTATTTATCCTTCTCTGTCTTCTGCTTTGTCCTCTACTTTGCAGCCAAAATGAGACAAAATATTACCAAATAAAAAAGACCAATGCAAAACCATCACAATCAGCTAATCTCTATTGATTACAGATTGAACTCCCCCTTTCCAAGCTGGGCTGGTCCGGGTGGCAAGAAAGCCACCTGCAAAAGTACAGAGATCCTGTCCTGACAACTTCTCCATGTTGTCTTGTTAGGAAAGGTCACTGAACACCACAGGTAAGGTACAGGGATACGACTAAATATAAATATGCAACCATCTCGGCTGAATATGTCACTTAACAGTTTTCTCTCCTATCACCCAAAGATGCATTTCACTTTCCTTGTTCACATCATAAGAAAATACAGTGACAAAGCATTGACACCAAACTTTATTAATTAGTTTAAAACAAAAATCGCCAGAATCTGTTTTGGTGGCAGAAGTTTTCAAGAAGCCTCTAATACATTAGCTAACAAACTCAGAAATGTAGATTTAATTAATACATTGAAGTTACTTTCTAAGGGAGTATGAAATCAAATCTCCTGCTTTCTTAGGTATGTCACCATACCTACTTCTTTGTACCATACTCGGAGAACAGACCAGGCAGCCTAATTACACACAGCATGTGCGTGTGTGCGTACACACATTCATGCTGAGCACAGAGCATACATTCTCCATATCCATGCTGCCTGATGTTCAAAAATGAAGACCGGTGACAGGACTAACGGTACTCTTAACAGAAGAATCAAATCTGAAGAGAAGTGTGAATCAGAAACAGAGATGACTACAATTCTCAGGGTCTTACTAATCCTGCTAACACACCCAGTTGGATTCGTTAGCACTGGCAGGACCAAATCCCACAGGGCAGCCTGGTATGATACAAAGGCAATACAAACAGATGGAACATGTAATTGCTACACTGGAACTTTAATCCAACCAGATGGCTCAGCCAGGAACTGCTTTCATGAAAAGCTCAGGTATACCAGAAATGGCTCATTCTATTCTATGAGCCTCAAATGCAGTACTAAAAATTGTGCAGGGCCCAATGAATGGAGCTGCACTGACTTTGCTAAGGCTCACCAAGGGTTTCTCACACAGTTCTAAAAGCAGAGCCTCTTTTTAAACTTAGATATCCAACAATTTCTTATGTACAGGCCGCAAAGAACCACTGTCCTATTAATATATGTAAATGGATAACAGGGACTAGAGAAATGAAGCAAAAGCTGCCAAGAGTGGCATTCTGCGTGGGAGGGAGCTCACTGGTTCTCTGACAGCAGACTTCCTGAACGCTTGCGAAGTCTGGATGTACGGCATTCAGAGCCTGCAATGTGTAGGCAGTTCTGAAAAGTGACATTTCTAAGCTTCACAAAACATATATACACAATTGGATTTGAAACGTTGAAAACGCTACACTATTTCCCAAAACATGGACAAAATCTTCATTCATGTTAACAGGACTAATGCAACTGCACAGAAAGAGGAATATCTTTTCCTTAGGGTGGAAGCCAATATCCCTGAAGACCTCTGCTGATCTCCCTCAAGACTTTAGTTTGAATTCATGCCAACACCTGCTGCCAAGCCTAAGAAGAATAAATATCAATGGCACTGCTGCTCCAAGGCTAAGTTTCATTAAATAGCTATATAAAAACTAAATAAAGCTGGGCACCGAAAATAACAGCACATCAACATGGACAGAAAACATACCAGTACTCTGTAATGCAAGCAAAATGAACAACCTTCCTCCAGATGAGAGATCAAATCACATTGCAAAGAAAATACTCCATACTGTCATTTTCTGAGCAAGCAGAAAATATTTGTAGAACAGATTGATCGTTACATGCTGTAATGATTTTTTTAATCATTTTTTTTCCCAATGATACAACCTCAAGTGTAAGAAAGTGGAATGCTGCTGCCCTCTAGCGCTAATCCAGAGATGACAGTTCCATGCATTTAACCAGCTACTGGGGTTAAACACTGAGATTGAGGGTATAAATTACCTAAAAACCTTGGTATCCTCTGTGTTCTGCAACACACAAACCGTACATTCTCCAAATGCTTTCGTGCCAACTTTTAGATAGAAGAAAGGTTCAACACTATTTTAGAAATGACTGGTACCTGTTGCTGCTTATGATGTCCGCTAAAGACGTCCCAAAGAAAGCAGAATATATTCCCACAGCTCCCAAGGTACACTAACGTCTGTTTGGATATCATGATAATTTTTACCATATTTTACACACAGCATTTATTCCTAGCCTAAAAAAGGGTTAAACAGGTAAATGGTATTAGCCTGAAATTCCTCACCTTGTTGACAAACAAAGCTGCCTGGAAAAGACCAACTGGGGCATTG